TACAGGATGGGCGCGGTTATGGTACAATTGCAATATGCTCACCGTACGTCTTGGTGCGTTTTGACACTGTTGCTACAGAGTTTTCGTAGATATCGGAAATTGCAACGTATCATGCCACGCTCGTTCAAATGAGATCAATACAGCTGCGGGTAGTCAGTCCTTACCGATCAGTCAGCGCGTATGTGAACTCCAGACTATGTGACGAATTTCTACGTAAATTATATGCACTATACAACAATGATACAATGCTCAAGATCTAATCACCACAGAGAATTGCTGAACATTTAGCCAGGTCGTACATCCCAGTGTTGCATCCACCCGCTGCGAGTTTGTGAGTCAGTACGTGATTCCAAGCTTGAATTCACGTCCGAGTCGCTTGCACAGCCAATCTTTGTTTGCTGTATTGACAAGAGCTCATGTGCCTCCCAAGGCAATGCATGGAATTCGACGTCACTAGGCATATTGGGAACAACCTGCGTGAGCTGGGGTGTCAATACCTCCATCTTGTGTCTCTCTGATGCCAGGGCGCGTAAGTTCAAAAGCAGATGTGAACCCTTGAGACAAATATCAATACGGGTGGGTTTGACCACAAATAATTAAACAGACAGAATACGAGTATATGGGTCCAACCCACCTATCAATGTCTGTGAACACAAGTATAGCATAACGAGGGGAAAGGTGATCACATACACGGTGGCCACGTCACCAAGAATTTGATTCGGAACGTACTGTGAGAGCGTAGATACCACTAGCGTCACTAGATGTTTCGGGGATCAATATTGAGATCTTGAAACGACTAACACGAGGCACTTGCCTAGTATTCTACGTCGCGGGTAATTGTCAATGTCTTTCAGTCTTTCAGTAAGGAGCATGTAGATGGATGCTTACATTGCATAATATGCTGTGCCATCCCGCCAAATACCGAGAAGCAGTGGGACATCACGCAGAGGACGATAGGAATAACACCTGATGCACATGAGTATGAATAGTATAGCTGTTAACGCAGTCAGTCCCGAGCTATTGCCCGATACACAGGCTTACTCTCATATCCCAAAGTGGGCATCCTAAGGGTACATGGGGTATCAGGTAGGCCGAGGTCGAATGCCGCATGGATGCAAAAACGCACCAGTCTGCATGCGCAAATTTGGGACTTCCGGGGTAAAGACAGCCTCGAATGGGCCAATTCGATGGGAAAGGAACGACTTTAGGATACATGTATATATCCGCCAATGCATCAATTGTCGCAAGACTCTAAATAGTCAAAAAACCATGAACTGAGAAACAAGTCCAGATCTATACGGACAAACCGTTATCTGTGCTGCATACAATCGAGCCACAATCAGCCAGGTTGTGATGCATGGTATTTTCAACACTTGCCTATGATTGCTATGATGAGGATGGATGCCACTGTACGCCAAGTCAAATATCCATATCGATAACGATAGAAGCTCAAAAGTCGCACCTAATCGACTTCCCGCGTATAGTGCATAAACTCTCAGCGCAAGGCTGGCCTCCACGCTGAGTATAAGGGCGGAAACGACGCTACGTGGGGGTTGTGAGGCATAATTTCAAATGTGAAACAAAGCTTACACGGTGTAGAAAATCATGTTTTGCACGCAACTATATGCGTGAATCTCAATATAAGCAAATGTACCCTCGAATGACTATTGGCGTACTAAAACGGGATCGCTTTAGAACCTATGAGGCTATCACCCGCAACATCAATAAAGACTGAATCAAGACCATTTGCGGGCACTCACGCTTGCATGACCAGGCCTAAATATCTTGAAATAGAGTAGAGAATCTTCGGGAGGGTAGCTTCCGACCTGACCAACGTCGAGACTATGGTCAACAGGATCATAGAACATCAAGAGCAATCATATATCAATCACCTCCATATCAGTTGAACCTAATTTAAGTTGGGATGATCAGTTGTATACGCCAACATTGTTTAGGTAAATACGTACCTCGTCGCCGAATGATAACAACCAATCATACACCAACCAACAAAGAGCAGCAACTAGTAGGTACCACAGGAGTCGCTTTATTTCAAAACAATATGGCTAGCACGCCAACTCACTTGCAAACCACGCCTCAAACTGCAAAGTAACGGCTAGCCCCAGGACCTCGGACTCTGTCGTACTATTCATAGGTTGACGAACGACGCGACAAGTGCAACTTCTCCCTAGAAATACGAGTATAATGGCGGCGGCAGGAAGGAGGGTCGAAATTCAAGGGGATACACAGAGGTCTTGTAGACAATTTGAAGGCATCATAGCCGCAGACGACTTTAGCCTCAACATGGTCGAGGCTCCGTGGATTTGAATGGATACTAGTATTCGGGTTGCTCGATCGCACCTTCTTTAGGAATCTTCTTTTCACCTGTTGCTGGTCTCTAAGCCACTAGTGACAAATGACGTTGGTCGCTCGGATATATTGGTCTGCCGAAGTCAAAATATGTGAGGTGATTCCCGAAACAGCCAGATTTACTGAACGGCGTTGGCTAGTAGTAGTAATACCAGCGTCACAGCCTTCTGCAAGCGACGCGGACTCGAAGCGCCTCACGGCGCTCTATATCTTGCAGCAATCATGTTTTCCGCAGAAGTCGGCAGGATTAGATGAGGGCAACAAGTAATCGGCAAGGTATCATGAAAGCATGTATATCTAATTCAAATTCAGGCTGTGAGTCGTCTGTACATGTCTTTCCAAAACGTGAGGCATACCTCGTCGCTGAGTCATAGTCCATTCAAGACTCACAGCAGCCGAACATTGATGGCCCGAAAAGTGCGTGGCAGTGATCCAAGCCGCCCTGGTGTGATGCATGTACAATACTTATAGGGTCTGAGCAAAATGTCTTCGTAGTCATGACTGGCAATCATTTTATTTGAAAGGCATACATCAGGATGGATGAATATCAATCACAATTGTCCCCAGTCTGACGTTGCAGCGACTGCCAGTCGATTGTGCTGTTGTCAGCACCGTCTACAATTCACTTCCTGTCAGTAAAATGACGCCCGAGTGCACACGATCGCTTGTACTAATTGTCACGATTGGTGTCCCAGTGGCACTGGAACCGTGCACGCATCGGCCAATGATTAAGAATCCCGGGTGCGGTTTCTGCGGGTGTGGCCTCGAGTACCTGCTTGCCGACGAAGTACCTGATACTGGCAAGGCGCACTGATTCCTATCATCGTGGTGTGGAAACGCTGCGATCACTGTCCTATTGAACAAGTATAGTCGATTCTATTACCAGTAGAGAGTTAATAAATAGTCTTAGACCTTGCCGGACGCGCATCCCATTGCTGCAACCATCCGCTATAACTTTGAATCTGTCTCCGTAGCATCGTTGTTGAACCACTAGCATGAGGAGAACAGGCGTCACAATTCCCCTGGGTTGATTGGAGCTCATAGCTTTCGGAATTTGTTGTCTCATCATTAACATCCAAGGGCCCCAATATTGAGCTATCAGGAAACACCTCAGATAGGTCAGGTGTCAGCACTTCGAGTCTTTGACGTTCTGCGGCTAGCTTCCTCACGCTCAGCAGGAGATGTGACCCCTGCTAAGAAGATCAACAACACTTCAAATCGCAGAGACAGGAGGAATACCAGCTAACCGAGTATGAATAAATTGGTCCAACCCATCTGGGTATAGAATTGAGTAAGTCGTAAGCCGAAGATTCAGTGCAACATACATGGACGCGACGGTGTCGATATAATTGTTTGGAATATACTGGAAAAGCGCGCATATCAATAGAGTGGCTGGGATAGTTCGATCAGTGCACAAGTCCAAACTTGAAGTGACCAAACTCTACATACCGAATATCCTACAATGTCTACGCTTGAGGATCATTACAGCGGAGGAAGATAAATGGAGGCATACACAAAATAGTAAGTGGTCCCATCACGCCAGATGCGGAGAACTATTGGAACTTCATGCAATGGGCGATACGAATAGCATTTGATACACATCAAAATGAAGAGCATGGCTGAAATCCAGATCAGTGTCTGTACACACTAAAACTACATGAACAGGCATACTCTCATACCCTAAGGTGGGTATCCTAGATGACAGAGAATCAATGGAGTGGTGCCAGTGCTAGAACCAGTATAATATGAAGTATGAGCTCACCAGTTTGCATTGTAATATGCAGGAGCTCCCGGGAAGAAACAACCATGAATGGGCCAATCAGTGGGAAAGGGAATAACCTTGGGGTAATAGTTGACATCGGCAAGCGCGTTAATCGTCGCGACACACTGAGGGGAATCTGATAACATGTTAGGTGATGTAAATAGGATCACTCACGCTTATTTGCACTGGTGGGTCCCATGAATCTATCAGACAGTGATAATAATGAACGCCATGTTGCGCTTACCGGTGGCGGTCAGGATAAGAATGGAGAGTACTTAACGTAAGCTTCAGCAACAGATGCGTACTCGCGAACCTAAATTTTAAACACTCACCCAGTCGACTCCCCGTATATAGGGCATAAACCCTGAAGGCGAGGCTGAGCTCTACGCTGAATACGATCACTGACATAGTGCTATGACAAGATGCGTGAATCGGAAGAGCACAATATGATCATGCTTCAAGATAACCAACACTGTGTTGAATATCATGCCTTGTTCGCAGCTATGCACACAGATTCAGACAACCCTATTTCTTCAGTGCACCATTGACATACTAGAAAGGTATAATTTGGAAACCCGCGCATCTATTGATCCGGGTATCAGACAGCTCTACAAAACGAAAAGGCAAATCCGAGCGCACACTTGCACAATCAAACCGAAATATCTCGAGATAAAATAGAGAAGCTTTGGAGCAGTAGTCGCAGACCTGATCAAAGGCCAGAGGTATCTGAGACTGCATCACTACAAAAACAAAAATTACGGCGCACCTCCAAATCAATCCAACCTGTCAAGCCAAGTTCAGCATGCGGCCCAGAATTCAAAACTCAATCACACTAGTCACCTCATCGTTCAGTGAGAGCATATAATCATAAAGCAGCCAAGAGAGTGCTGCCACTAGACATAAATTGCGCACATACATCATCATGGAGTGCAACGTATGCAATGGGCTCAACAACTCACGTGAATGAAATCTCTCTGTTTGAGTGAGAGTCGCCAGAAACAGAACATCGAAATTTGTGGTGCTACTACTCATCAATGATTGTCAAAGGGAACGAGGACTCAGCGTGGTGGGAAAATTTTAAAGTTGCTTTGATTGTGGCGGAGAACTCGCAGGGATCCGATATTCTTGTTGGAATAGCGATTATAGGACCTTGACTCAATTCACGAGGCACGAGCCGAGTTAGTCACATTATTGCCGGGCAATAATCGCTACGAACTTTTGAGGGCTCCCGTTAGATGCTGATCATCAGGTCACAGCATACAGTGGTTTAAGTCGAAGCCCCGCACAGCATAGGCCTAGAATACTTACCTTTATATTGATCAAGAAACCTCTGTGAGTCCTGCGAAACAACTACTGAATTGCGCTGCTGTCAACTCGGGTAGAGTTGGCAACTGGCAGGGCGCTTTCGAATTTGCACTATACCCTTTGTAGGGATCTTCCATGCCAATTGTCGCAGGGTCAGCGGCACATCAATTTACCAATGAAGTTTGAATGCCGTGACACAGTGAGCAGTGAACTGATCAGTGCAGAGTATGGAGAAAGTGGCCGCCTTGGTGAATCGTAACTGAAAGGGACACAAAGGTTCAGCTTTCTTATCGGAGTAACTCCATATTTGGAAGATATACAGGATCGTTTCGCTTGTGCTCAAGTCGTACGGAGATGGCGTGCTTCGCTCATGCCTCAGGGCCTCGGACCGCATGGAGCATCCATTACACATAGGGACGTGACTGTAGTGTGGAGGTTTTCAGTAAGAGTATTTCGTCTGTTGTCGTAGGAGCTACGATGAGTTGCACGCGCTTTATCACGGTTTTTGGTATTTGGCCTATTATTATATCAGTACTCCATAAGAGCACATAATGATTACATGGGAAGGTGAATCTGCATCTCCTCTATCTTTCCGGCTACTCAGAAAAACATTACGTGTCTTACATCCTCCTGCGGATGTCTTCCGGTGAGACGAGTACGAAAAGTTCGAGTGTTTATATCTCTGGTCACAATATGTCACATCGGCGTCATTCGGCAGCCCTGCAAGCCAAACACGCACAAAGGCTGAGAAGTGACTCGATTAGAGCAGCGCCACCGTTGAATTACGTAGCCACCATATGCCGAGAGATGCCGCGCGCGGCGTCCGAATTTTGTCACCATCCATCCTGACTATGTAACGCCAAATATTGTAGACAGCATAGATGATGTTTTCTCTCACAAACCCCTCTCGGAGAATATGGAGGGGTACTTGATACAGCCTCAACAAAGTGCTCACAACAGCATGCAATTGGTTATGGGCTAGTTCCTGTGCGATGTGCCGATCTTGACTCAGAATTGGCTGAATGAGGTGTAACCGGCCGTTGTGCAAGAGTTCTCTCTGTCTCCATTGCGAAGTTCATAATTCTGAATAGACAGACCTTTTCCGATGTTCCGTACGGAAGTTGCGTGATTTATTGAGATTTTATAAGCGAAGGAGCAGGAGCCCAGACGGGATTTATAAACACTGGGTCGAATATAAAGCGCGTGCAACGCATAGTATCTAGATTAATCAGCTTCAACGCTCTCCCAATCCACTTCCTGTCAGTAAAATGACGCCCAAGTGCTTGTAATTGTCATGAACATGCATACGTTGTCACATAGTATATGGAGATCACCGCGAAATGTCTATAACCTTCGTGAACACGATTTGCTCAATCAACACATGATGTGCTGACGGTACTACAGGTGGAAAGGAATGAACAATTACGTCCCAACTGCTTTGACGACTTCGACAATGTGGTGTAGAAACGCTGCGATCACTGTCCTATTGAACAAGCATAGTCGATTCTATCACCAGTAGAGATTTAGTAAATAGTCTTAGACCTTGCCGGACGCGCATCCCATTGCTGCAACCACCCGCTATAACTTTGAATCTGTCTCCGTAGCATCGTTGTTGAACCACTAGCATGAGGAGAACAGGCGTCACAATTCCCCTGGGTTGATTGGAGCTCATAGCTTTCGGAATTTGTTGTCTCATCATTGACATCCGAGGGCCCCAATATTGAGCCATCAGGAAACGCCTCAGATAGGTCAGGTGTCAGCACTTCGAGTCTTTGACGTTCTGCGGCTAGCTTCCTCACGCTCAGCAGGAGATGTGACCCCTGCTAAGAAGATCAACAACACTTCAAATCGCAGAGACAGGAGGAATACCAGTTCACCGAGTATGAATAAATTGGTCCAACCCACCTGGAGATAGAATTTGTAAGTCATAAGCCGGGATCTCAGTGCAACGTACATGAGGACGACGGTGTCGAGAGGATTGTTTGTGGTATGCTGGCAAAGCGCGCATACCAGCAGAATGGCTGGGATAGTTGGATTAGTGCACGGATCCGAAGTTGAGGCGACCCAAAGTCTACATACCAAATATCCTACAGTATCTAAGCTTGAGGTTTATACCGCGGAGGAAGACCAAGGAAGACCTACACAAAATAATAAGCGGTACCATCACGCCAGACGCGGAGAAGTATCGGAAGTTCGTGCAATGGGCGATATGAATAGCATTTAACACATATCAAAATGAAGAGAACGGCTGCAATCCAGGTCAGAGTCTGCACACTGACAAACTATCTGAGGAGGCATACTCTCATACCCTAATGTAGGAATCCTAGGCAACAGAGAACCAATCGAGCGATGTGAGTGCCAGAACCAGTATAATGTCAAGTATGAGCTCACCAAGTATCGTAGTATGCAGGAAGTCTCGGGAAGAAGCAGCCATGAATGGGCCAATCAGTAGGAAAAAGGGAACTTTTGGGGTAATAGTTGACATCGGCAAGCACCTTAAGCGTCACCATACACTGAGGAGAATTTGATAACGTTAAGTGATGCAAATATGATCACTCACGCTTATTTGCACTGGTAGGTTCCATGAATCTATCAGACAGTGACAACGATAAACGCCATGCTGCGCTTACCGATGGTGGCCAGGATGAGAATGGACAATACTAAACGTAAGCTATAGCAACAGATGCGTACTCGCAAACCTAAGATTCAAACACTCGCCTAGTCGACTCCCAGCATATAATGCATAAACTCTGAAGGCGAGACTGAGCTCTACGCTGAATATCATCACTGATGTGGTGCTATGCCATGATGTGTGAACCGGAAGAGCACAATATATCGTGTTTCAAGAAGACTAACACGTTGCTGAATGTCATGTTTTGTTGGCAGCTATACACTCATATTTAGTCAGCTTCATCTTTTTCAGTGCAACATCAACATACTTGCGAGGTATGATTTGGAAACCCGCGCATCTATTGTTCCGCGTATTAGAAAGCACTACGAAATGAGGCAGAAAATTCGAGCGTACACTTGCACAATCAAACCGCAGTATCTCGAGATAAAATAGAGAAGCTTTGGAGCAGTAGTCGCAGACCTGATCAAAGGCCAGAGGTATTTGAGACTGCATCACTACAAAAACAAGAATTACGGTGCACCTCCAAATCAATCGGACCTGTCAAGCGAAGTTCAGGATCTAGCCAAGAAGTTAAAACTCGATCACACTAGCCACCTCGTCGTTCAATGAGAGCGTATAGTCGTAAAGCAGCCAAGAGAGTGCAGCTACTAGACATAAATTGCGTACATCCATCACGGAGTGCAACACATACGATGGTATCAATAACTCACTTGAATGAAATCTCTCGGTTTGGGAGAGAGTCGCGAGAAACAGGACGTCGAAATTCGTGGTGCTACTCATCAATGATTGTCAAAGGGGGCAAAGAGCGTGGTGGGCAAAATTCAGGGTTGCTTTAATTGTGGCGGAGGACCCGCAGGGATCCGATATTCTTGCCGGGATGGCGATTTTAGGCCCGCAACCCAATTCACGAGCCGAGTTAATCGCCATGAAAATTTGATCATCGGAGTCATGATATTTAGTAATTTAGGTCGAAGCCCCGTACAGCATAAGTCTAGGATACCCACCTTGACACTGATTATGACACCTCTGTGAAGACTGCGAAACAACTACTGAATTGCGCTATCGCCAATTCGGGCAGAGTTGACAACCAGGGTGCGATCAAGTTTGCACTATACCCCCTCGCAGGGACCTTCCATGCCAATCGTCGCAAGGTCAGTGACGTATCATTTTACCAGTGACGTTTGAATGTCACACGGCAGGATCGGTGCACTGTGATGCAGAATATGTAGAAAGTGACGACCATGGTGAGTCGTAACTCGCACAAGCCACAAAGGTTGAGCCGCTTCTGATCGGAGTAACTCCATATTTGGAAGGTATACAGGATTGTTTCGCTTGCGCTCAAGTAAGACGGCGTGCTTCACTCATGCCTCCGAGGGGTCGCATGGAGCAACCATAACACACAGGCGTGACTCTAACGGGGAGGTTTTCAACAGGAATATATTTCGTCCATCACTATAGGAGCTATCTCAATCAAGCGGACTCGGCCTTCTCTCAACGACACTTAGCCAAGGATGCGGATCTCAGAGTAATAAGGAATAACTTTGGTTCTTAAGTCCCGGAATCATGACGGCGGAAGGATTGACTATCAAAGCCATGGAAACATTCACGGCAATGCGGCATCCGATCTTTGAATCAGTAGTTGATATTCAGCGAGCTAGTACGAGGCACATCAATAAGCAGTCATCGACCGGGCCGGACGTGCGTCCCAATGCTGCATCCATGAACCGGATCTCCTCTGTGTCCTCAAGACGACGCCATCACGATGAAGACACGCAGTTGGGTCCCGCGGGGGTGTCGAGAGTTCGTATACTTCCCAAGAGTCTTCCTGAAAGCCCATGTTGGATAACTCTGCAGCTTCAAAATCAGAAATCGTCTCCGAGATCTGGGGGATCATCATCTCAAGCCTTTGTCTCTCTGCCGCCAGCGCTCGCACGCTCAATAACAGATGAGACCCCTGCAGCATATATCTGACTTGAAGCCCCAAGATTGATAGAGACGAATGTACGCACCGAATATGAATATATGGGTACTACCCACCTATACTTGAGATTCAGCTTGAGCAGGGGATCACAAGAGACAGCGACGTACCAGGCAAGCATGGCAGCTGGTGCGAAAGCTGTGACATATTGAGAGAGCGTATACACAAATAACACGGCTAATTGATAATGGTCAATTCAACAGAATAATATATTCTTCACGCGTGACAACTTGCCAAAAATGCTACATTATCCTGAATTAGATCAGTTGGCAGCAAGGAGATGGGAGAAAGGCCTACACAAAGTAATAAGCTGCCCCATCTCGCCATATACGGAGAAGCAGTGGCACATCGTGAAGAGGCCGGTAAGAATAGCATTTAATGCACATCAATATAAAGACTATAGCTATGGCTGCCGTCAAATCATGGATAAACCAATACGTGAACACTTACTCTCAAGTCCTAGAACAGGTATCCTGCATAACCGCCAGTACATCAAAAGGTCAGCAAAGAAAGTTACACCACATAGCAACATACCAGTTCACGCGTTCAAATGAAGGACTCGCAGGGTAAGAACAACCACGTATCGGCCACTTTGACGGTAAAGGAAGGACTTGAGGATAGACAATTATATCGGCCAGCACGTCTATTACTACGGTGGTCTATATAGACAACATTAAATTGAGAAGCGAAAAACGATAATTATAGACGCACGCTTATTTGGACTGACGATACCACGGTTCAATGAGATGGAAAGCACTGAGTGACATCGCATAACTTGCCTATGGCCGTCACGAGGAGAATGGCCAGAACTAAATCTAGTGTTAACGAATTTCCCGGAATAAGCAAAAATATAAACATACTGATTCGGCTTCCAGAATATAGCGCATACACTCTCAGGGCAAGACTAAGCTCAACACTGACTGCGACTATGAAAATCGTGCTATTCCCGGATTATAGCAACAGTACAACGAACATAAATACGAGCTCACACAGAACTCAAGACAAGGCCTTGCAGACATCTACACGCATGTCTCAACAAACATAAACGCGTGTTAGCGTACGACTGACGTACTGAAGTGGGATGAGTCCCAGACTATCGTTTGCAATGTGAATATCCGCCAAAGTCCAAAATTGACAAGAAACAGTTGTTCGACTTACACTTGTGCGAATATGCCAAAGTACCTGGAGATAAAGTAAAGTACTTTTGGGATACTAGCAGCAGATCTGGAAAATGAAATAGTCTCATCGTTTATAAACTCGAAATATGGACTGACCTCCAAATTAACTGGACCTTTCAATGTTAATCAGTCGTCAACAAATACAAGACTTCCTAAATCAGGAAATTACCTCATCACTGAACGAGAGAAAACAGTCATAAAGCAACCAAGAGAGGCCAGCGACTGAGCATTTCGCGAAAATTCATAATAATGATATCATGATAGTGGAGTAACTCACTAGTATTAAATTTGTTCACACTGATGAGTGCCGCGATCTTAACAACCTCGGAGTCCGTAGCATAGTATTCATAAGTCTCCATCCGCTAGTCGCACGGAATTCCGACTCCCTTCCGGCAGGTGAAAACACCCGCCCACAGTGACGGCTTCAGGAATCAGGTCTAGGCAGACAACTTGAAGCTGAAGGAAGACAACAGGATGGGGAGGGGTCGGAGAAACAGCGAAGCGGTATTAAGAGGTTCTATACTAAATACTTAGCCTGAGACTGAGTGCCGCGGCATCAGATTCTTAGGCGAACCGAGTGTGGACCTGGGGACGCGGTCGCGAGGAACAGCTGTAATCGAGAGATAGAATACAATCGTGTTCCGGATTGCTGGGTCCTACCTCGCTTGCTCGACGTCTAGCCGATGTCCGGGCCTCGTTGCCGCTGGTCACGAACTAAACGACAGTCTCCCGCTGGCGTTCCGACTTACCCGTCAGTGGCTTTACAAAGGGCTTTGGGGAGGGACACATCCGTGCGCTAGCGCTGGGGTCCAGAGACAAGGCATGGGGCAGAATGATTGTGAAACAGCTCCCCTTGCGAACGTTGTTTATTCATGGCTGCGGAGTTCCCTCAAAGGATAAATTATTCCGCATAATCCCCCCGGCAAATTGTCACGTCACACGAGTCTGGGGAAGCCGCGACACTCACATCAAGGGCTGCAGCACTAAACCTCTTTCGACATAGGACCGCGTTGAAGGGTATTGCAGATCCCCGGAGTTACCAGTAAAAGAGTTATGGAACACAACTACGCATGACTGTAGTATAACCCGCACACAGCCAGTAAACGAGATATTCATGTCAGTAAGCAGTTTGTGATCTCGACGGGCGCGCATCCCACTGCTGTGTCCATGCACTGTGGCTTTTCGCTTGTCCCTGCGATTCCTCTATAAAATTAGCGTCACTGATGCGAAGACGCGTAGACACATCCTGCTGTGATGGCGAGAGTTCATGGGCCTCCCATAGAGATGCATGACCGTGTCGGTCAGATACAGAGTATCTGATTTCTGGAAGGATCTCCGAAATGTGGGGTGTCAACACTTCCAATCTCTGTCGCTCCGCAGCCAATGCTCGTACACTCAAAAGTAGATGAGAGCCCTGGTAGATCACGTTAGCCTCTTCGGTGGACATGGCAAGGAAGCGAACGAACTGAATATGAGTAAATGGGTCCGACCCATCTAGGAAATAAATCTAGTGTCAGCGCAACGCAATAAGATACAGCTAGAGTGACGTACATAGAGGCAATGACTTCCAGTGTTAGGTTCGGAACGAACTGGGACAGCGCGCACAATGATAGCGTAACTAGATGATCGTTAGAACCCTCATACGTGATCGAACGTCTACAATGACTACTGACCAAAGATCCTACGTCGCGACTGAGCATGAGTCGATGTGCAAAATCCCGAAGAAAAGCTCACATGAGGTAATATATAGTCCCGTCACGCCAAATGCGGAGAAGCAGGGGGACTTCCCTCAATGGGCGATATGAATAACATCTTATGCACATAAGAATGAATAGGATGGCTGAGATTGATGTCAACTTTGCATCAATTTGATCACTGACTACTTACTCTCGAAACCTAGAGCAGGAAACCTAAATGGCAGGGTTCAGACATCTCAAGAGGAATACGGGGCGAACAATCTACCAGTCGGCACGGGAATATGGAGGACTTCCTGGATAGTAGCAACCGCGGATGGGCCAGCTGGAAGGAAAGGGTAAAATCTTGCGAGATAAACTGATGTCAGCTAGTATATCGATCGTTGCAACGCTCTTAAAATTGAGCACCACTTGAATCAAGACTGTAGTGAGAATATGCGAAAAGACGCACAGATATCTGTGCTAATCATGGCAGAATCCCAATCAGAATGACTATTCAGTTACATCGTGAGGACTGACCTATAGCAGTTACGAGTAAAACGCCCAATACTTTGAGCGAAATTAGCGACTGTTCCGTATGTACCAAACCTTGACATCTCACCTACTCGATTACCAGAGTAAATAGCATACACCCTTAAGGAGAGGCTGATCTCCACGCTGATTAGCAGCACAAAGCAAGTACTATTTGAAGATCATGCGATGTGGTACGAAGAAAACGCATGGAGACTTGCATTAAACTGAATATCATGCCCTGCACACATCTACCCATGCGAGGCTCAACCTGACGAATGGCCCTCGTGTAAATGCACGCACTGAAATGGAATTATTTTGAGACCCGCGCAGCTAGGTTCAAAACTCGTCAGTGAAAAACACCTAGAACGTTTGTGGCACTCACGTTTGTACAACCAAACCAACATATCGCAAGACGAAATAAAGAAATTTTGGGATGGTAGGAGCAGACCTAAACAGGTTTCAATGCAATGCAGACACTACCAAAGAAAATCCCAACCTCCAAACTAACCGGACCTTGCCAAGTGTGTTAGCTTTTGTGAGTATGCCTATAAAAGACAGCGGTCTACCTCGTCATCAAATGAGTGGACATAATCATACAGTAACCAAGCGAATGCTGCCACTGAAATTGCCAGTAAAAATTATAAGGTATACGTCCCTAACGAAGAGACTCACTTGAGTTGAAGTTCTCCACCTGCAAGAGGGTTGCGATCGCCACTACCTCGGATTCATCCACATGACCCATGCACCCAATTACGTCTCCTCACCCGATAGGACGACTACAAGCAGAGATCCCTGAACAACACCAGAGTGCGCGAATCAAAAGAAAGGAGATCTTGCAAGAGTCACAGTTCAACGTCGACCGGCTCAACGAAAAGGAGCGAAGATGGCGCGAGAGTCGACGCGCTGCGGTAACTTGTGATGGATAAATCGCAGCTCCGCATCGAATTTAATAGACCGATGAGAATTCGGGACATAAAAAAGGAGGGGAGCCGATTGTGACAGATCGCTGCAGCCGCGGTCGCTAGGAACCAGAAGATCAATGGGCAGTATCCGGCCTACTGGGTCGCTGGAGCTGCATGTGAGATTTGGTTCCCACTGCAATGTAGTGTCTCACTTGTACCTCAGACTACTTGTAAAATAAATCCAGAAGCTCAAACATCTTGCCACGGACCAGTATCGCGCTTCCTCCTTGATTGCATGAAACTCCAAGCTTGAGAGTGATTGACCAGGCAGAGGTGGCTGAAGCCATTGAGATAAATTGCTTCCGTGTGTGCAAAATTCCAGCAAAGGTTAGATTTTCAAAACACCGCCAAATTATCGCGACGTGACTTCCATTCTCGACAAGCGGAGCGCCTTTAGTGCACTATACCCCTTCCGGTGATCCTCCATGACCCACACTGGCGGATCGACAAGGGAAATGATGCGTGAAGTACAGAGACGATAGCCTCATCAGACTCACCGCCGTGCCACTCAAATCATGGCTGAGTAGAGCATCCTTGCAGGGATTTGGGAAGTTGCGGGGACTCGTCGACAACATTACAGTAATTTGCGTCTTGCGTATTTGGGGTTTCGATGCTTAGATCCGTGAGAGCCGGAGAAAGATTCAACCAAGACCGACGCCTCAGTGCTTGGACATTGTATAGCTTACAAATTCACGACCTGCATTTATTACGCTCAGATTGGTAGGTCTTAGGAGTGAAGAATGTTAGCGACGCGGGTCCCCACCATGCCGGCAGGTAAGTGGTGTCAATAGTGCAAAGAGTTGAGCATCGGATTATCTCGGGCGAGTCTCTGATCGGATGCATCTCCATTTGGCAGGTCTGTAGGATCAATGGCATCAGCCTGGGTGCAGTTGACTTGAAAGCCTGAAGACAACTTGCGTCTGAAGTCAATCTGTACTGTTGCAATTAGATACACACAATATTATAACTTCATCTTGGGGCCAATAGTATACACATGTACATGATACATTTATCTGAATGCGATGAGTTCCGGTGCAAGTGCAGCTATGTTATGCATAGATAATGTGTATGGCGCGAGAACCTTGGAGTCTGAATACAATCGCGTATTTGACAGGGCCGCGAACGAATGGTATATAAAATACTGTCTACGATGTGGATTTCGCAAATGGAATGATGGCTGTTCGGCATCTTCGACCAATTATAGTGTGTTGAAATGATACAATGTCCCGTCGTGCAACACGAGTCTGCAGTTAAACGGCGAAGCGTTGTTCAATACTTGGCGTACCTCCGCTGTGCCTCGGAGACTGTAAAGAGTCGAGCCTCCACTCGGCGCGGAAGCGGTGATAAATTAACTTGAACGTTGACACCGCACCTTTCTCTAATACCAGCCCGATGGCCGTATCAAAATCGCACATTCTGTCCGACCGGAACTTTGTCCCACTGAATGAGCTCGGCTGAGGAGACATAGACAGGTTCGACAAGCGAGGTGTGGCGCTTGGCTGCCCGAACGACTGAAGGGTTGCGGATGAGAATTCGATGCGGAATCGCACCTGCTTCTGTAGTGTTGTGGAGCCATCTTGCATGTCCTCTGTACGACATTTGAGCAGGTGCCAGCCGTGACTTTCCTCCAGAGCCCAGATGATTCCAAATTGATCTAGTAAGCGCAATGTCTCGTTCCGGGTGGAGATTAGATCGTTCATCGAATACAGCATGTACGACTGTGCTCGCCAATGAAAGAGGTTCGAGAACCAGCCCTTGAATTCGCCTACGACGGGAGAGCCGATAAGCTGTGTGGGCGAAGATACGGGTCCAGGGGATCCAATGATAGAAAATGTAGATCTCTTCTGAAGAATTGGTGTTCCGTGAAGATCAAGTGCGGGCGCTATGAAGATTAGCAATGCATGGCGTAAGTGAAAAATTATCTATCACCAGCAACCGTCGTTGCTAAGGAGATGGTATTACTTACGCCGACTTTTCCTGTCCCTCCTTTCTTTGGTTGATTCCTTCGGCGGCGCCTCGGCGAAAAATACCAAATTTCCCATTTCCTTAGCCATAGGGACTGAATGACCAAAGCCCAACCCCCCTCCAGCTAGCACAGGGTCAGGATGGACATGTGCTTTCCGACTCGGAACACCCGCATTCCAATTCTCTTTGTCGTCCACGGTCATGCTAGACCGAGGGGGGTTCACAGTGTTCTGCTTGTCACTTGTGTCGGTGATCGAAACGTCCCGAACCACCTCAGTGTCGCCTTCCACATCCATGGGCTCTTGCAGAGAATATTGAGGGCCGGGGGACTGCATAGCGGAACGAGCCGCATTCCAAGAAGCGACTTGCATATTGACGGTCGCGGCATACTGATCAAAGGTCCTCTGCAGTTCGACATCCGGTACTCTAGGGGCAGTAATCATAGGTAGGATAGGCGTAGCAGAAGTAGGCGCAGGTACAGATGTATAGACAGTCGTCGATTGAGGAGTAACCAGAGAATTTCGATAGCCAGTACGAGCCGCCGCTGATAGAGGGCCGATGGGAAGGGGTGCTGATCCACGTCGCATCGGAGGGGGCGGCAAAATACGGGGAATGCCGGATGTGAATGCACTCTGGGCCAGCGGCTGAACGGCTGCTCCAATTACCGGAGAGGCCATACGCCCAGGCGTCGCAGCACTGGACTCCGCGTGTCGGGCATGGGTAGCAGCAGTAGCAGAGCGAGAGGATCCGCCTAAAGAAGTCCTCCCACTGGGTAAGAAAGATGAGCTAGGGCGAGGCTTTTGTGGCCGGGGGCCAACAGGAGATGGGGGATGAGCCCTGGTGGGAGCGCGCTCGGTGGGGACATCGGTTGATATGACAAGAGCATTCGGGGAAGGGCTGCGAGATGGAGGGACGGGCGCCGCGCGGTTAGACCGCAGTAACGACGGTACCGCGACACAATTCTGATCACGGACGCCCAAATGTTGAGCAGGCTTCTTTGACTTGGGCGCCGCATATTGCTTCGTAACCACCTTGCCACTGGCGCTCAGGACTTCGTCAATATCCATGAGAATTCCGTGCTCTTCCATTGTCCTCTCTCTATGCTTCTGCAACAAGAAATAAAATGCCTTCGCCAACGTACCATGTCCAGCCGGGCTCAAGAGGTCCGCCTGGATACTGTCGTGATCAGCATGACGACCCCATATTACGCAAAGCGACTCAAAAATATCCCGGTCAATGTGAAGAGCAGATGGCAATGGCCTCGCCAACTCTGACACGGGAGGAGCAGCTATGTATGTAATTCCGGGCGTATCGGCCTTCAGCCACGGATGAGCCAAAATATCACACATCTATACACCTCGCTAGAGTCAGCGTGGCCAGACGTTGCTCGCAGAAGGGACACCACCCACCGTCATCCTCTTTGACACCTCAACGACCAGCATACGCGATAACAGGTCCTTCGCCATGGGGTCGATAAAGGCGGGCATGTCGTACTTTCCTAGTTTGACCTTACTGAGCAAAGTCCTCACGTTCTTGTCGTCAAAAGGGAGCCGACCAGTCAACAAGGCAAAGAGAATGACACCACAGCTCCAAATATCAGTCGCAGTCCCGCAGTATTTGTGGCCGTTCACAATTTCAGGGCTAGCATAATGAGGACTACCGCAGCTAGTTTCCAGTTGTAGAGATGGAGGAGCAAACGCAGCCATTCCCCAATCTGCAATCTTGACGAGAGGAGGATTTAGCGAATGAATAAGTATGTTCTCTGGCTTGAGGTCACGGTGGATGATAGAGAAGGTGTGTGCATAGTTTAGACCGTAAACAATCTGTTTGAAGTACGCCAGAGCTTCCAGCGGCGCCAGCTTGCCGCGGTTGACCAGAAAATCAAAGAGCTCGCCGCCTTCGACGTATTCTAGTATGAGGTACAGCTCCTTCTCGCCTTCGTAGACGTCATATATGCGCATAATATTGGGATGGTTCATCAGCTTCATCATGATGATTTCTCTGTCGATACCGAGACGTTGTTTGTCAGACTTTGCCTGAGCAGCGAGCGAGGCACGGGAGTTAACAAATGGCTGCAACGGCAAGATTTTCACTGCGGCGAGCTGACCAGTCCGGCGGTGCTTTGCAATCTTGACATGGCCGCTGGCACCCTTCCCGACGCATTCGCCAATGACCCATGGGCCGACGTACTTAGCATCGTCGGGATAGTCGAAGGCGCCTTCAGCAGCAGCGGCCTTCTCCTTCTGCCAGCGAGTACCCAAAGGTGCCTGATATTTGATAGGTGGAGCACGAGGCAAGCTGTCGACCGCAGAAAAGAGCATTGTTGTCGTCCAAGATGTCAGGAAGATAGAAGAAAATACAAAACCAGATTACGGTCGTGAAAAAAAGTATAGTATAGATGTCGCTGTCGTCGTCGTCCGCCAGCACCAGGGTAGCAGACCAGAAGCGAGAAAGGCCGAACAACACACTTGATGTCGACGGTTGCGAACTTGAACCCAGCCGCGGCGTGTGGCTGACAGGCAAAACAACGGGTAAACAACGCTCATCACATGATCCGCTCAAAGCGGGACAGTGCTGATTGGTAGGTACGAGGCTGACGGCGGATTCAAGGTCCGAGGAACATTGCGGTGTCGGCCCATTGCATGACAACTAACCAGAGCCCTACCCAAATGACTCATTAGACGAATCCGAGATATTCTAATACGTACAGTGCTCAAACCCGTACACCGTCCATATGGTATGCATCAGGGAAGCCAAAGAAGTTCAGTGCACAGTGAAATGCCACCGCGAAGACAATGCCGCGAAAGTCATACCAATATCACAGCGAGGAGGAGCATCATGAGGACGATAATCAGTATCACGATGCACCAGCCGGACTTTGTTTCTAATGGTCAGACGGTCAGAGGAACGACACAGAGCAACTCAAAAGGAACTTGCCTTCCGTTTGGCGAATGAATCGCTTCATCCGCTGCATCGCATCGCCGAGCTTGGCGTCTGATTTATCAACGCCTTGTTCAAGGTCGTCGAGCATCCTGTTCCAATCCAGACCGGATATCAGCAACGTGGCCAAAGGTGAGATTAAAGACGACATGGTACGGGCATAATAAAAGATCTATGATGTGCATTTACGTACTCATTATGCTCCCCAATTTCACGACCCATGAGACCCGCCTGCTCCGCAATGGTACTCAGTGTCCCTGCGATAGTATCGATGGTTCGATCCTGCTGACGAATCATCATCTGATAGATACCAGAGTCAGTAACCAAAAGGGTATCGAATGAGTACAGGATGTGGCGGTATCAGCATACCTCCTGTTCTTGCCTCGCCCATTCCGCCTGATCATCTTCTGGCATAGGAGAAGCGGCACGACTACTTCCTCGAGAAAGAGATGGATGGATTCCCACCTGCGACCGTGGTCTCGGCCATCTGTCCACAGAATCAGACTCTACTTCCGCTCTCATGGTCTATGACGGCAGAAGGAGTGTGAATACCTAATAGCTATGCACTTCTAAAACAAAATACGCACATACCTCGATTTCCTGCCGCACATGGCCGACGTACCGCCTCCTCTCCATCACCTCTACCTCTTCCAGGCCGAACATCCGCGGGCCCGTCGACTCGACAATTCTGCATACGCCGGTACGATTCAATTCAGTCAATGAGGATATGTAAGAGGAGCTAGATCATGCCTACTTTACACTCTCTTCTAAATCTTCTAAGTCGGCCTCCAGTGCCGCGAGGGTTGCCTTAAGCTGTATGCGACAAATTCGTCAGAACGGCTACCGCGATGGGCGAATATACTCAAACATCCAGCGGTGGACGTGGTAGGCGCATACCTCATTTCTGGCCCAAGTAAGCTCTTCGCTATCCTCATGCGCAGTGCTACGAATGCGAAGGAATGAAGCACGCAAAGTCGACGCTGTCTGCAGGGAGGCCTGTATTTCCTGCTGCACTACGTGATATGGATCCGTGGACATGCTGGAAAAGGCCGGGGGTGTTTTCAAAGGTCTGCTAGGGAGCTGAGGGCGAGAGTGGATAGTGACAATGCGTAAATGATAAAGAGCGCGTAGAACTGTGAGATGATGCTATTTGACTTCTCTCAAGGATTCCGGCCTAAATTGTTGAAGACTCTCACTAGAGATGTGTGAGAGTATAGCATTCGTTAATGAGTGGTCCGGACGTGAGCGAAGAGAGGTTGGACCGCTAACTGCTGTGGCCCTGAGAGCCGTCCAGTCTGAGTGCGCAACGCTGCGGCGACGCGCTCCACGTGACCCACGTCGTGAAATTAATTTCAGGTCGTCTCACTGTGTGTGGATACTGAGAACAGACTTGGAACAGACTGTTCTGTTCCAGGATATCTCTGGGAAGGGTTGCACGTTGCGTCAGGTTGTGGCAATCCACCCGAAACTCACGGTGCAAAGGACCGAGTCACGGAAAGTCGCACGCTCGGCGCCCCGTAGCCCCGCTCGTCGCCAGTCGCTTCCCAATTATAACCTACTCACTTCCTTCGTCCCACTTCAGCTGCGCCCAGCGAGACTGTCCAGCGCCGTCGTGCACTTCCCATCGCACCAAATCGCCGTCGAAATCGCTCTTTCTCTGCACAGGTGCAGTTCGCTGATCGGTCAGATATCGGCGCCACCGTCCTGGATTAGTGTGTGACTTGTGAGTTTCCGTTTCCGCACCCAGTCTCTTCCGCTCCATCCTCCATCCTGGCACTTACAAATCCCCCTCCGTGACGATGGCTGCCATCTCTACTTGGTGTACGTGGCCCTCGCTCTGATTGTGTTTCAGTCTTGCTCATCATCCGGCCCAGATAACAACCAGTACTCCACCTGGAATAGAACCCGCCGGTTGCACGCACAGCCTTACCTCGCTCGCACGGACACCACCACCTCGCGCAGAGCTGCAGAGATGGCCCAACAGGCTAACACTGTCGTTATCAACATGGGCGACTCCGCCAGCCCCGATACTACGAGCGAGGCTAAGTCTGACACCCTATTTGGTCCTAACATCGGCATCGTCAGCGGAGGGCCCGAATGGACCGAGAGGCTTGACAAGACTGCCGCAGATGAATTGACCCCGGAGATCATCAAAACTTGGGTATCGAGGAGCAAAGAGGTCCGTCTGCATCTCATCTTTGTGTGGGGACTCCGAAGCGACTGTTTTTTGCAGGGCTTGCCAGCGACCACAACCCTTCAGGCATTAGTTAACTTGAAGCGACCCACGCTTCGTTTAACACCCTTAGAGATTGCTCCCTCGGATGATCCTGAGCACGTCGACTCGCACCATCACCATGGTCTCGAATTCGAATATGACTGTGATGCACCCAAGTGCGGCATCAGCGTTCACGCCCTCCTGAGCTCGAGGCATGGTCTTGCCGGCAAGTCAGACACCAGCGGATTGTCTAAATTCCTCCTCTTCGAGTCCGTTGTTGAGGGGGGTTTCGGCAAGATTCTCAAGCTCGAAGATGGCGCAACGCTGGAGTTGGAGCGACTCGAGCTGCACCCTAATTCTGCCCGCAAGGACACCGGCGGGGAGTCTGCACCCACGCCGGATGCCGAGGCGCAACATGCAGCGGAGGATACCCACGCGAAGGGCAGGAAACGCTTCACTCACTTTAACCTCCGTAAGCGCAACCACCGGTCCGCTGCTGCTGGGCCTGCCCTGGCTGTGGTCGATGCGGAGGTGCCCGCTGCTACCTCAGAAGGTGGTGATGCAAAGAACGAGGACAAAGAATCCGAAGTCGGTGTGCGCGTCGTCATCCGTCTGGCTGCGCTCGACGAGGAGGGCAAAGAGCTGCACTCTGTCAACGAGCAGGTCACTTACCTCCATGTCGTTCGCTTCGGTCCTACGCTCACCGCTGCAGTCGAGACCGAGACTGTCGAGGACAAGAGGCCCTGGGTTGTCAAGGTCGTGAAGCGAGAGGCTACTGTAGGTCCACGCCTAGCTTCTAGTCTTCCTACGCTCATTTTCGCAATACTAGATCGGACCACACACATTCCACCTCCATGAAATTTACGGTCTTTCGGCGAACTCGACCACCGCTACGCATACGACGACACCGACGTCACCCGCCGCCGTGGACCAGCATGTTTACCCGCCTGCTCCAACGCTCGATCATACGACCCATGAGGAAGAGCCGTCGTCAGAGTGCTTGCTCTGTCTTTCCTCGCCGCGTGAGGTTGTTCTGCTCCCCTGCCGTCATCTCGTCGCCTGTCGGGAGTGTGCGGTGAACATGATCGAGTTCGGCGCTGGTGGGACAATTGTCCAGCAGGAAGAGCCCTCCACTATCCCTGCTACGGAAACTCCTGTTGCCGAAAATGCTGCTACAACCCCGGCGCCGAATGCAACTAGCCCAAGTGCCGACGGTCCCCCTCCAAGCTCTGAGGCGGCTGCCCCACAACCTGCCCCGAGAAGGAAACGCAAGGCCAAAGGATGGTTCTGCCCAGTGTGCCGTCAGCGTACGTTGTTTTATCAGAGTTTGTGTTGCCGCCTGACCATAACATGAAATCATAGCCTACACGTCGATGCTGCGAATCACCACCACTCCTCCGTCGAAGGACGGTATGGACAAGGAACGCGACTCAATGTCGGAGACACACGTTGATGTTGTCCCTGCTATGCCAGCGGCTGCACCTGCTGTCCGCGGCAGCCTCGCGTCCATCACCCGTCCTGGCTTCCTGCGTGGCTTTGGACGATCTGGTGTCCCGCAGCCGGATGTTGAGCGTGGCCAGGTGCAGGCTGCTTAAATCTATAGACATCTCTTCGCGATAGGTGTATTAACCTCCAGGCTGCACATGTTGTATCTGGATTTGCACATTCAAAGTATGTTCTTCTAGCTGTCTTTTCTGTATCCCGGTTCGCCAGTGCTGGAAAACGATTATTATTCGGACTGCTTGTATACTGTTTGCAGCCTACCTTCTTGTATTTCTCTGTGCGTTGGGACATTTGTTACCGTATACTCATGCAAGCTGCACGAGATGTTCTTTCAAGATTCACAGTGAAATGTACTTCATTACGACCCTTAAGTAACCATGCAGTCATCCCCACTGTTTTCAATACATTGTTCCATGATCGTTTGATGCGCCCCTTCAGATAGAACTTTGAGCCTCTCGAAATACCAATACATCTCACATATGCCATGACTAGTTCATGCATCCACCACAGGCATGTAGAATGGCTTGCAGATATTCAGGATGTTCAGACCGAAGCATAAAAGAGATGGTACAGCATGGATCGCATATGGAACCTTGTAATATAGTCATATGCATGTAGGGAGTGCGGTATGCAGAGACAAAACGAGGAAAGCAAAAGCACAATCACGCAATAAGCTTCACAACACCACCCGCCTCCTTGATTTTTGCTCTGGAAACCGAGTGAGATGTTAGACAAATGATGGACTGGGTCAAAGACGCACTCTGCTTTCTTCGACACAAATCGCGCTTTCACGATAACAGGGAGCTTGGGCAGTCTAGGAATGACGTTAGCAACGAATAGGGAGGATGTGATACTGCCACACTCACTGTCCGTTGCCCAAAACCTTGCCGTAACCATGACGGAGGGTGTCAATTACTGGTACAACCTCTGAGTCTTCCGTCAAGCCCTCTTTCTCTTCTGCAGGGACAAGTGTCCAGAGCTTGTCGACGTTGATGATGGGACACCAATGCATGTTGCGTGTCAAGTGGAAGTGGCGCATACCGACCTTACCGAAGTAACCAGGGTGGTACTTATCGAAGTTGGTACTGCGCAAGCCCGTCAACAGGTAGCGACGGGACATTCGGATGGATAGCGTACCGGTGGTGGTGCTGGCCACCAGCGAGACCACGACCTCCAGGGTGTTTTCGGTGCTTGCCTACACGTCCATGGCCGGCCGAGACGTGGCCACGGTGCTTGCGAGTCTTGGTCAACCGTGTAGGCATTTTCTGTCGCGAGTCCGAGCGTCAGCATCATCCAAACCACGGCCAATGCATCCACCGTCGCAGAATGCGAATCCTGGCCCCGTACGACATCCCAACGAAAGCTCGCGCGCAGCAGAGTCCATGGAAATGCATCCTGGCAGGGAAAATGGCGACGTACTGACCTTGAGGAGGCGTTAAGTGAGTATACACACGAAGGAAATCGGCAGGCAGACCGAATCAGGGTGTGGCGGGATGTTTGGTGCTGCTTGGCGCAGGTGGCTGCTCAACACCCATCTTCGCGTGGAAGACGCCGCGCCCGCCTTGACTACTTCGTTCTGTCCCCTGCAACCGGTAAGTGGTCCTAAATTGATTAATTGCTATGATGCTGGCTATAGAGCCTTTATTTATTGTCAATGATGCTTACTACAAGTGATCTCAATTCGTGTTCTGACTTTGATCCCGCCGTGTGCTCCAGAGCTTTCTCAGCTGACAATTCCTTTTTGCAGGTGCTGCGGCTCTCTAGGTAAAGTTTCCCCCTTAAATTTACGGTTTTTTCCAGTATGTATACAGAACAGCACCATCTCGATTGTATATGTACACTCCCCCTCTGCCCGACACTTGTAATTGACACTGTTGAATAGAAGTCTCCGCCCAGTCAGCGGTGAGCCATCATGAACGCGCCAGCGCGCTATGAACTGTTCGTGTTAGATGAAGGCGAAAGACCGTGCGTGATATACTTGTCCTGGGCGAGTTTGCGCTTGACTGGGTTCATATAGCGTTGAGGTGATCGAGGATACGAAGATTCCCAATGCCGCCACAATCAAAGTCATGAAGCAGGACCATACGCTCGGAAATCTGATCCGCGCGTGAGTCTCTGCTTTTCCGTAGCGTCGCGTTACTCAGCCGCCGCGGTAACACCAGACAACTGCTCTCCATGCCACAAGTCCTTTTTGCTGGATACAAGGTTCCCCACCCGTTGCAGCCCCACTTCCTCATCAAAATCCAGACGGATGGCACCGCGACGCCCACCGAAATCTTAGAGCAGGCGTGCAACAAGCTCATCCAGATGATGGTTTCCCTGGAGGCCAAATTTAAGCGCGAGTTTAGTTTCAAAGATGTGGACGGTGCCGTCGCAGAGGACCCGTACGGGACTGTGACTGCAGGCGGTGCCACCTGGACCGACGGGAGGGACTACTTGGATTTCTGATGTGATTGTGCGCTGTCGTATCTACCTTAGCATCCACGAGTGGGCGTATTTGTATCTCTAGCAGCTCCTATTCTGTAATCACACCGGTACTATTACCGCATGAAGCCGCACGGAACTCCGCACGGTCCCCAGAACACTGAGTAACCATCCGTGCAGCTGATAGACAGGAAGCTGCGTTATTCAGTCGCAGCGAAGGCCGTATGTCTCATTTTCAAACACGACATGGTCCAGAAGCGTCCGCACACAGCCGCACGGGTGGTTGGTGTCCGATAATGGCCAACAAGTCGCATGCTCCGTGCCGGGCTTTCTCAACGCCTGCCTTCCGTCGTGCAGCGCACGCTGCCGTCCCCGCGCTGCCGCCAATAAAAATGCGGAAAGAGGACATGTCGACACATGCATATATTACCAGCGGGGTGTCTTGACTCAGCAGCCGCGGTCGTCGGAAATGCCTGTCAAGAGCGGCGGCGTCTCAGGTCCCTGCAGATACAGCTGTGGAGCACAACAAAATCAAGTCCTGCGGCGCCCCTGGCTGAGTCACCGGATACCGCTGCCGGCGTGTCAGTAGTCGCCAACGAGAGTGAACCAACAGCTGGCCGCAGACAGCCTGACTGTGTCCACCGACCGGTAGATTATTCAGAGTCCTGTGTGGACACCGTAGGCTAGCAGAAAAATGCCTGTAAAGCATAGAAGAACAAATCCACCGAGATGGCGTCGCGACATATCAAACCCAATGCGCAGCCCGTCACCCGCCCCCCCTTCGCGCGGTGAGCCTCGCTCGCGCCTTCGCCGCGCGCCGCGCGAGGAGCTCTTCCCGCGCACGTTTTTTCTCCTGCGTCGCGCTGACGCTGCCGCCCTCGCGCTCCTCCTCCAGCGCACCCGCCTCGAACGCGTCGATGCACGCCTCCATCTTGCGCTGTATCGCCTCTGCGCCGTACGCCGGCGCCTCCGCCGCGTCGACGGTCCACTCGAGGTCAAAGCCCCAGCCGCGACGCTGCGTCTGCGCCTCCGCACCGTGGCGGGGGCCCGCGTGCAGGGCCGGTGCCG